AAAAATTGCAAAAACCACAAAAACACGTTTGATTTTTACTGAACAGCAGATTATTATTCATTTATGTTATTTAGAAGAGGTTTTCAAAATGTCTGCCTCTAACAGAAATGCACAGTGTACACCTACGTATGAAATTTTGTTTTAAATCTCTAAATGCTTGTGTGTTGTTTTTCAACACATGTGTCGCTTCTTGAATTTTGTTCCTCAATGAATTTTCATTTGCACATTCTTGGGCGAATGTTATGATTTGGACTTTGTTTGCTAAGAAGTTTGTGATGCATTATACGTTGCGTGAATATGCAGAAATGCATTATTATTATGGCGTTGCTCAAGGCAACGGCGCTTTAGCAGCTCAGCTGTACCGGGAACAACTTATACGTCGAGGCGGACCACAACCTGAGCATTACCCAGACCACCGTGTTTTTATTAACACACATAACACTTTCATGGCAGGCCGCATTCCAGGACGAGGAAGCAATGAAGGATATCCTACAGCTGATCCGGATCGCAGAGAAGTAGTACTTGAAGAAATTAGCCGGAATCCCTCAACGAGTACGAGATCTATGGCACAAAACCTTAGAATACCACGAACATCGATACAAAATATTCTTCATGAAGAAGGTTATCATGCCTATCATGTTCAAAGAGTTCAAGCGTTGATGCCTTCAGATTACCAGTTAAGAGTGGATTTCTGCGAGACAATGCTGCGAAGACAACGAGAGGATCCCGATTTTTTTGATAAAATTTTATGGACTGTCGAGTCACGTTTTGAAAGAACAGGGATATTCAATATCCATAATTTACATACTTGGGCTGTTGAAAACCCCCACCAGTCAAGGCCGTCGACATTTCAACACCGTTTTAGTGTGAACATGTGGTCAGGAATATTCAATATGGAATTTATCGGTCCATTTGAACTGCCGTCAAGGTTGGATTCGGTAGCCTACAAAAGCTTCCTTGAAAATAGCCTACCATTATTGCTGGAAGATTCAAGCCTGGAAGCCAGACGGAACATGGTGTTCCAGAATGATGGTGCACCATGCCACAACGCAACGATCGTGCGAAACTACTTAAACGAAAGGTTCCCAGACAGATGGATCGGACGAAACGGACCGATACGATGGCCTCCACGCTCCCCTGACCTCAACCCCATTGATTTTTTTGTTTGGGGATATTTTAAAGACATAACATTCGCCCAAGAATGTGCAAATGAAAATTCATTGAGGAACAAAATTCAAGAAGCGACACATGTGTTGAAAAACAACACACAAGCATTTAGAGATTTAAAACAAAATTTCATACGTAGGTGTACACTGTGCATTTCTGTTAGAGGCAGACATTTTGAAAACCTCTTGTAAATAACATAAATGAATAATAATCTGCTGTTCAGTAAAAATCAAACGTGTTTTTGTGGTTTTGCAAATTTTTTTTCCGAAACTAACAATTTCTATTGAGCAGAGGGTTATCCAATTTTGGGTTCGGTTCTATTTGAGCCACAATTACGGTAGCATGTAGTAAAGCTAGGTTGATGAAATTTTTACGGTAAATAGCTGATACCGTAAGGAAGTTTTTAAGATACTTACGAATAGTAAGAACATGTTTTTTCAATTTTTTATAAACGTTCAAAGTTGTTGCACTTTTTTACTTTTTTGTTATGTTCGAAGATTTTGAAAAAAATTAAAAAGTAGTATTAGTTACATGACTTGAATGATTATATGATAGTTAAGCCTTAGGTCTTAGCTACATAATCGTGAAAAAAGCAGGCATTTATCACAATTATTAACGAAGTTATGGTAAAAATAAACACAGAACTCAAAAATTCTCGAAAAATCCGAAAAAAAATCATAACTCCTAAACTAAACAAAATCGGACCATATATGTATATGGGGGTGATTTGGGTTCCTCTCGATGTGGGGAATCTAATTTTTTTTTATGACGTCACGTGTTTGGCCACCCTGTATATAATGAGAAATCCATTTTCTCTAGAAAATCACTGATTTACTATGTGTGTGACAGCAGCTGTTTTGTATGCATCAAGGTTAGACTCCTAAATGTCCGCTTATATTCTACTCTATTTTATTCCAATAGAGCCTTCACATTTTTTGTATCACAGAATAAAAATAAATATGACAATCGTGTTAGCGATTGCTGTTGGCGTGAGAGTTATTAAGGGATAGGCAATATAAATATAATTAATAGAAAAAGTATTGTACCGTTTATTCAAATAAAAGGCTTTAATTTTATGAGCTGTTTGCCGTCTTGGGTTATGAGCTGTTTGCCGTCTTGGGTTATGAGCTGTTTGCCGTCATCTTGCTTAACTGATAGAGGAGGAAGCCCATAAAAACAGAATTCACAACTTACACCAGGGTCTTACAAGCATTGAGTTGATGTCCTGTTCCATCTTCATCCACGTAATGTTCAACGCGTTTTTTGTTTGCTTGTGAATCCTGCCAATTAATGAAAATAGTGATATATGTAGGTAAAAACTATGCTTTGTCTCTAAATAGCTTTTAGGGTCATACGCAAGAAATAACCTGATCTAGTTCGGTTTCAAAACAGGATACGTTCGAAATCTTTTCCTAACCTGAAACAGGTCACGTGATGTCCTGTGAAAGTCATTTTAAAAAGAATTGCTTAAAATAGTGTTGACAGTCTCGGGGCCCTTTCGCACCGGCGATCTAGTTTTCTTCTACCGCTACGCCAATGGACTTTGCTCCTCAGAGCCGCCGCCGATGTGCCTGCCAGACAGTCCCGCCTGACTTCAGCCTCCCATCCTAACCGTGTCAAACTTCGTACATGCAGAACTGGCCGATACGACCGCTAATTTGTCCCTAGGATGTCGAGATTGTTTAACAATCTACAAGAGGAGGCTTTTCCCAATTCTACTAACCTTGAGCAGTTCAAAAATCGAACTAACAAAGTTTCTTTGTGATCCCGATGCCCTGGCATTTAGGCTTCTGCCTGCGCGACTGCTTCGGTGTAAAAAAATAATGTAAAAGAGGCAGCCACTCCCTAGAAACCCCTGTTAAGTGAGCTGTATACTACACCAGGTTTTATCTAGGCGTCGTAGATATCAGATAACAACTGATGTATTTGTCGCTGTCGTGATATGATTAACGTTTCATTTTCATTCCATTTCTTATATCTCTTAGTTCATTATTTGCTTAATTCGGTAGCCCATCAGACTAGATGCTGAGTTTTCTTCAGAAGTGCTCCCATTGGAGCAATTCTATGTTACGCTCGTGTACATCGTACCTTTTTATGTCTCAATAGCGCACATGGACAGGTGGTTATCTCTTTATTTAATTATCTTCATGCGAATTTTTGCAGTTGCTCGTCGGTCTCTGTGAAGAAAACGGGAGCGGATAGTGAGCTACACGACCGTTTCGAAACTCGACTCACTCGTAAAACGCCTTTTTCGGCCTAAGAGGGATTGTAAAATCTTGTATGTCCTTTTCGGAACGATAGAATTAATTATGTAGATGGGATGATTAGAGATTAACGTTTTTATGGTATGTTCACATTCTGCGCGTAACAGTAAAAATTGCTACGCAGCCATATTGGACCGAATGGGGGATTGCATGGGTTTCAAAGAAACCGATTGGACTTGAATTGATGTCTTCCAATTCATTTACTGAAACTTGGTTATGGAATAAAATGTTGTTTTTAATGCATATATAGTTTTACATTTAGCGTTACTATATTTCCAACCTCCGTGAACATATTAGATAGATAGAAGGATAAATAGATAATTGTTGTTTAATCAATCGAGCATTAAAAAATAACATTGAATACGTTACATTACGAAATTACATCACTAAAACATAAAAGTTCTTAGAATCCAGTGAATGCAACGACACCATAGATACCCAGAGACCTCATGCTTATGAAAAAGAAAACATTGTAAAAAAACGTAATTATAAAAAATAAAATACAACGAATTAAAAAGCTAGCGGTTAAAATGTGAAGTATCGATTATAAATAACAGACTGGATAACAAAATAAAAATTGATAAAAACTAAATAAAATGAAATTAAATAAAACTGGTAGCTAACTTCCCTGTAAATATAAGAGCATATATTGTCATCGTTAAGATATTCATTGAGGGAATACTATGCTTAGTAATATTAGACATATTTGACACATCATACATTTTCCCGTCTATTTTCAACACGCCTCTCTAGCCTCTGAGTTCACGAGGTTATCATAGCAACATGGATAGTTTGGCTGACTCGATCCGCTTAATTTCTTTGTTATACATGTTTCTAGCTAACTTTTTTTCAGTGGTTCTGACTTGTGCCAAAAATAATACTTTATAATATATATACTTTGATGACTTTGAAGTTGAGTCATTAATTTTCAGATAATGATTGTAGAAGGAAGATAAACCAAAATATGTGTGTAAAAATAAAAAAAAAATTTACCTTGTTTTATAAAGTATCATCCCGACAAGTATTTCAGTGCGGACCTGTATTTGATCGTGAGGTCTTGGAGCACCGGCATGCCGTCACCTGATTCACGAGCCCGTTGTACTACATCAACAAAGGCACGAGGGGTTGGCTGCACTCGATTGGGAAACCGATCCGCATAAACATGTGCCATTTTTTATTTCGTTTGAGCCACGCAACAGACACCACTACTCACTCACGCGTTACCGACTGACACTGACTGTATACAAATGAATAAAATAATTGTAAAAACATCGTTCCAAATTCTTTCGCTTTTTTGTTTCCGATGCGATGAACCGATAAGGCGGATTATATCCGTTGTCGCCAAACACGAGCACATAATATTATTATTGAGACAGGGCGGTACTCAAACTTCCAAAGGGCTATAACTTTGTTACTTTAATTTTACCAGAAAAATGGTAAAGGAAAAAAAACATTTCTTTTGATCAGATCTACTCACTGTTAAAATAAATGACTCAACTTCGAAGTCACCCTGTATATATATATATATATTTATAAATTCTTTGACACTTATTATTAGTCTGTCTAATGGTTGTTGCCTGTAAGAATATAAAGTTCTCAGAATGTTTGATGCTTTTAAAGGGATAACGTATCTATAATGATTAGGCCGAAGTCGATGGTTAGCTTAGTCATGAATAATGAAGGTTTGTGCCTCCGGATCCATTTCTTATAAGTAGATATTACTGTTTTTTAATGTGTGATGTTGAACCAAAAAAATTAGTTAAAACGTGAGAATAATTTGACGAGTATTATTACTTTAATCTAATCAAGCTGTGTTACATTCAGATTAAAATACTATGAAACTAAATATTTAATATTCTGCTACTGGTCATTTAGGGCCTTATGTCATAGAATGCCACAGACAATTTTAGAATTAGGATAATTTACGATATTAAACTGAAAATTTTTGATTTGGTACTCTCGTGACGTTCTGGTAATGGAATCAGTGATATCTCCCTTGATATTGTTTATACAGTTGAAGTAGAAATTAAGATTAGCTACACATTTACAGAGCTACATTGGAAACCCGATTTCCTGGTGTTTTATAATATTTAACATGAAAAATAATTTTCGCGTGAAACATCCAAGTAAAAGTTAGTTTTAAAAATAATTTCTTCATGCACATCATTTTATTTTCTAACAATGAAATAAGAGAATTAAAGTCGATTTCAACGCATAATTATGAACTAAGTTTTTGACATAATAAAATCCATTAAATATGTATGGTGTTTTGAAACTAATAAAATGATGAAACACTTCAAAAATCAAGACGTCAACAATAAAAGATCCGAGCCAAAAAATGGTAGCATATCACACCACATAGTAAAATGTCTTTCCTGTAATCGTACAGCATTAAATGTTTAATTAATATACACTGGTACTAGCTGCCAGGCTAACATAAAATCCTAAGAAACTAATTGTTGCTAGCGAAGAAATAAGTATGTATGATGAACCGTTAGTCATATACTGATATCAATACCCTTTAACACCAACTCTGTGACTATGTACGTTTTCACTCTTCCAGTTTACGGGATTTTCGCAAAACTTCTCGTGGAACCCTCGCAGGCCGAATGCGTGACCGGAGGATATAAACTTTACGTGCATACTTTACTTCCATGTTTTATTTCTATTTCTAATAAACCTTTACTAATTTGAGGTAATATAAATAAATTATATATTTAATGACACATAATATTTACAGAGCAATTCATTTTAAAGAAGTACTCATAAAGTAGAGAAAGGAATTAGAAAACGCATCAAGGAAGTTAAAATGACATACATTAACAGACATTATAAAATAGTTTGGGATCCCAAGTACCAAGCCTTCAGTAAGCCGCTGACTGAACGTCGATTCAAAAAAATAGTAGCAACATTTTACGTTTTTCTGTAGTCACTGATTGGATTTTTGTGATGGCCTGTAGTGGTATATGTTTTAATAATGCTATTATTGGGTTTTTTACACTTTGACAAAAAATTTATAATTTTGTTGAGCCATTTTATTAAATCTTATTTCAATACTTTCTCGAAGAATATCAGTGCGTATCGTGTCGACATTAAGTTAAAGTGTATTTATGTTATGAGCCCATTTTATTAAAAATGTTTTTTAGACAATATATTAAACTGACTTTTCTACCAAACTCTCTTATCACGTCTTGGATGGCTCGTGGCATGTAAACACAGATATACTGTCGATATGTGAAAAAAATGTTGAGATTATTCAAAAAATAAACGAGATAATATGGAAAAAGTATTCGACCACCCTAACCAGTCGCTGCACCCACTTACCGGAACCGCGGTATCTCGCAGTATCCAGTCTAGCTTGGTTGTTAGATTGTTGTAAACGAGCAAACCAAGTACCCTTATTTCACGTGAACATATTACAATACTTGACTATGATAGCGATAATTATATGTACACATAAAATACGGTGTTGTAGTAGATATCGTATGTGTGACAGAAATGAGACGTGCCAAATCGTCGCCAAAAACACGAAGTGGTGTATCTCAAAAAATAGGAAAATTGAGTCAAGTCGATTTTATTGCTTAAAAAAGGTTGCTCTTCAATATCACGAAGTGGCATAAGTCCTCTGATACCTTCAGAATTTTAGAAAAACAATGTTAGACTTATCTCATTTTAATAGGAAATTTCACGAGGGTGCTTAACTCAAGTTACTTCGTGTTATTGTCCCAAAAGCCCTTAAAATTCAAAGCGGCTCCTAAGACTTCGAATCATACAAACCAAGAGAATTTTATTTCTTATCTCTCTTAGTAAAAAAAACTGAACGTGCGAATCGTTTAGCGACGCCTCCTGCAAAAAGAATTAGCCAAACACGTAACTCTCAGCACATAATATCAACCAATAAAATGGTTGTAGGTAATATACAGGGTGACTTTGAAGTTGAGTCATTAATTTTCAGATAATGATTGTAGAAGGAAGATAAACCAAAATATGTGTGTAAAAATAAAAAAAAAAAATTAAAAAAAATTTTTACCTTGTTTTATAAAGTATCTTCCCGACAAGTATTTCAGTGCGGACCTGTATTTGATCGGAGGTCTTGGAGCACCGGCATGCCGTCCCCTGTGAGGTCTTAAGTCACCTGATTCACGAGCCCGTTGTACTACATTAACAAAGGCACGAGGGGTTGGTTGCACTCGATTGGGAAACCGATCCGCATAAACATGTGCCATTTTTTATTTCGTTTGAGCCACGCAACAGACACCACTATTCACTCACGCGTTACCGACTGACACTGACTGTATACCTACAACTGAATGAAATAATTGTAAAAACATCGTTCCAAATTCTTTCGCTTTTTTTATTCCGATGCGATGAACCGATAAGACGGATTATATCCGTTGTTGCCAAACACGAGCACATAATATTATTACTGAGACAGGGCGGTACCCAAACTTCCAAAGGGCTATAACTTTGTTACTTTAATTTTACCAGAAAAATGGTAAAGGAAAAAAACATTTCTTTTGATCAGATCTACTCACTGTTAAAATAAATGACTCAACTTCGAAGTCACCCTGTATATATGGATAATAGATACGAATGCTCTGCTAGTGTGTAGGCGGGTCCTTTCGATACATTTTTTTGTCAGAGGATTTATTAGTTGATATGGATGGAATTATGTTTGTGTGGTGTTCAGGCAGGACTCGCGATTATGTCCTTATAACATTTAGATGGAATCTTAAAGTGATTTTCCATTGAACGGACTGTTGAGTTTATGTTGTGTTTGTATTTTCCAAAACCCCTTGTTTTCATCAAGCGGGCTATATTTTGTTCGTGTGTTGTTTTTCTTTCGGTCCTTAGGCCAGCTATCTTAAGACTGAAAAATATTTATAGCTTTTGCTCATCGGTCCTGTTGCGACAGAGTAAACTAATTTAATCATTGGTCCTTCTATAACTTGGAAAATATCACCGGATTCTGAAGAAATTTTTAAAGACCTGTCTAATGGCCAGTATTATGGCTAAAAAATCTATAACTCCCCAAAAATTTGACTTTATCTTTTTTTTTCGTTTCTGATTTTGAACGCAATCAAAAATTTTCGTAGGGGAGATAAAAGTTCAGAAAAAAACTTTATTGATACATTTAAGACGTAGTCAAGTTTATTTGAAGGATTCAAAGATTGTGAAATCCGGAAAAACTATTTTCGCACATTCTAATCATCCAGTCACTTTTTTATAGCTGTCACTGTCAACTCAAACGTAGAAATATTTTGGCAGAATAATGAGTTCTAGCATAATAAAATTTGAAACTAGTCTTTTGACAACGTTTAACAGATATTATTATATAATTGTGATTTGAGTGAATCTTTTGTTTGTGCTACCATATTTACTTTAAATAGTTTTAGATACAGCGGATACTTATTTCGTCGTAAACTGTTCTCCTTTTTGTAACCATGTTGTCTTGTGATAACACATTTTTTTTAATTTCATGTGTTTTTATTTTTCATCACTTTAATATAACACGGTCGTAACTCAGACTTTATTCTATTAACGACGACCTTTCAATTTCACAAAATGACGTATTTACTATTTTTGGAAATTTGGAACACATAAAATGAAAAATGGGTTGATCGTTGCTCATTTTTGAAAACTTGTAAACATGAGCAGATATACCCACAAACTCAATTATGTAGCAATGATACCTTTTTGTCAACAACAACTCATATCTAGTGAAAATATTTAAAACGCTGTCCTGTAAAATTGGAAAAAATGAGATACGCCTCTTCGTGTTATGGACGACGAATTGTGACTTTTTAATGGTGTTTCTTTCCTATTTGGAGCTTTTTCTTTTCTTATTCTATCTCAGTTTTCATAAAATACCAGATTCTTTTATTTAGGCATAATTAATAACATCATGCACTTAAACAGAATCTACGTTTATAGCAACTTTTTATGTAGTTGGACGTGCTTTCTGCCCTATAAGTCATCATGCACGAAGAGTATTTGAAGAGCAGAAAGTAAATAGTAGAAATTCAAGACAATAAAAATGTATTATAACCAGGATGTTTAAAAAGCTTATTCAGTTCGGGCCATCTGTTTATTTTCAGCAAATACATAGTCGCGATGCACCGCGAGATAAAAAACTTTTCGAGGCAGCGGGCATAGCTTATCCGCATCCAGGCTTTTTGTAAACGTACCAGTTAGAGTTCTCCGGATTCTTCCGCGACAGAAGACTGGTTTCAGCCGCCGCCTTTAGGAGCTTTTACAAACTGCCTTGTAAAACGTTGGATTATATGGCATTAACGCTGAAACTGATAAATTCGTACAGCGGGTGGAGGTGTTAATATATATTTGTGTCTTAACGCCTGCACGTTCTGGAACAAATAGCCGACAGAGGGCGTTGAACGATGCAAGGAGACCTAGGATTACTGAAAGCACGAAGCTAAAAAACACACATAGAAAATATTTTACAATGCTTTGCCCAGAATGTACAGGGAAATGTCTTTTGCTAGTTTTCGAAGGCAAATCAAGCAATTTATGCTCACTCTTCCCCGATATTGATATAACTGATTTTCTGAGACGTTTAGGCATACGTGTACATAGTGTATATAGTTGTAGTGTACTTTAGTTTAGTTGATTAGTTATTTAACCTTTCTGTATTCCTTAGTGTTTCTTATACAGGGTGTCCGCAAAGTTGGGGTTTTCCTTTACACGACGTGTAGATCTTGAAAACATAAGCAAATTTTCTTAGTACCATATACACCAATGTCTTAAGGGAACCGAGATAAAGGGCTCTGCAACATCAAAAATATCTGAATACCGTCCTGTAGCCGCGACCCGCCGCGATATTCCCGACTGGTACTAGGACACTAGCTCAACCCGACGACAGAACTGGGTCGGGGTCAGTGTGTCAGGTCAGTATGCAACCTTCAACCGACGGTTACGGTCACGCGTGTAGAAGTAAACGAACACGTATAATCGATTGCGATTAAAAAAACAACAAGCACTAGAGACGTGGCTAGAAAAGTGCAAGTGTGGCAAACGCTGCGTGAAGAGGGGCTGTATCCGTTTCACGTCCAACGTGTACAAGCTCTTCAACCTGACGATGTTCCAGCAAGAGTGCGGTTTTGTGAGTGGTTGTTGCATCAACATGACAATAATCCTGACTTTTTGAAGTGCATATTGGTGACAGACGAATCTACGTTCACGCCTAATGGGGTGAATAACTTTCGCAACACTCATGTTTGTTGATTTTCAACAAATCGATTGGACGGGATGCAATACCTAGACTTTTTACCCAACATTTTGCCTCCCTTGTTTGCCTGCGTCTAGTCGGTAGCGCATCAGCTGATTTCATTTTCTGTTGGAGCGGTATGATTTCGGGCAGAGACGTACTTAGCCCTTCTCGTCAACTGGAGAGTGAGTCCTTTTTCCTTTATTTTTTTTTACCTGGTCGACCTCGTTTCACTACACATTACCTTTGTTATTTCAAGGGTAGTTGTTTCTGAAAAGGAAAACCCCAACTTTGCGGACATCGTGCTTAAAGTACAGACAAAGGTAGTTAAGTGTAATAGTAGCTCAAGCTAAACTTCGCTATCTTTGTCCCTCACATGTACAAAAGATGAATAAAGGCGTTATTATTATTATTATTATTATTATTATTATTATTATAAAAGGGTGCTCTTGGTTCAAGAACACGGGTGTCTATGAAATTATGACACTGATTTAAGATCACAGCTACTTGAAAGGAAGTAACTTTATTGTTTCAAAGAAATTGATATTAGTTTAAAGAAATATGTGTTAGAAACATATACTGAGTGAAAGAAAAAGGTAAAATATATAAGTTACGGACTTCGATTCAAGATAGTTACTCTTGAACCAAGAGCACTGTTGTTTGTATACATATTTGTAGTAGCCAACAAGTGTTCAACATTGATGCTAATTCAACCGGGAACACTTGATTTTTTCATCTTTTTAGTACGAGTCTTTATGGCTGATTGGAATTTTATCAAGGCTAAACTTTATCTCGACTCGGTAACTCCCAAAAAATTTAATATAGATTACCTAATACTGTTGATCATTGTGATATTGAAAGGCTTCACACAGCAAACAATTTTGTAGTACATACCATCAAAAAACCAACACGTATTGAAATAATAATACACATACGATATAAAGTTTACCGGATATGATCATTTCCACCAATTAGGTACAAATGTGCACGCTCTATAGCATATATCAAGCCTTTTATATCTCCGTTAAAATGTCAATGCCGTATTACACTGACAATTAGCGGTGGATATATTATATATAAACAAGAATAGCGGGGATGCGAACCTATTAGATCAGGAAACGTTATTTATCTGCGAAAAGAACATGGCAAATATACCGCTTACATGTACCTAATGAACCCTAATATCAATTAATCGACAAGAGGATTCTGATGAAGTTATCAGCAGCTTCTCCAGCGTGTTAAGTTATTAATAGCGAATTAACAAGTCAATTAATGTAAGATTTATTAACAAGCACTCAGGGTGTTCTTACAAATAATACAAAATCGTTCGTTGGAACGTTATAGATGTTTACTTTGAGTTAATTATATATGCGCACAAATTTTATAGTCCAGGATATTAAAAAGATGCCTATTATACAGGGTGACTTCGAAGTTGAGTCATTTATTTTAACAGTGAGTAGATCTGATCAAAAGGAATGTTTTTTCCTTTACCATTTTTCTGGTAAAATTAAAGTAACAAAGTTATAGCCCTTTGGAAGTTTATAGCCCTGTCTCAATAATAATATTATGTGCTCGTGTTTGGCGACAACGGATATAATTCGCCTTATCGGTTCATCGCATCGGAAACAAAAAAGCGAAAGAATTTGGAACGATGTTTTTACAATTATTTCATTCAGTTGTATACAGTCGGTGTCAGTCGGTAGTGGATAGTGGTGTCTGTTGCGTGGCTCAAACGAAATAAAAAATGGCACATGTTTATGCGGATCGGTTTCCCAATCGAGTGCAACCAACCCCTCGTGCCTTTGTTAATGTAGTACAACGGGTTCGTGAATCATTTGACTTAAGACCTCACATATGGACGGCATGCCGGTGCTCCAAGACCTCACGATCAAATACAGGTCCGCACTGAAATACTTGTCGGGAGGATACTTTATAAAACAAGGTAAAATTTTTTTTTATTTTTTTTTATTTTTACACACATATCTTCCTTCTACAATCATTATCTGAAAATTAATGACTCAACTTCAAAGTCACCCGGTATATGAGGCCTGTAAATTAAGTTATGAGATTGATATTTTTTTAATTTTTTATTCAAATATAATAACAATTTTACGTCACGCTATGTGTAAATTCGGCATACAGAGGTACTTAACTTTGAGCGTTTGAAGATATTAGTTAATTCCTTTTTTACACCATCTAAATCTTCTAGATGAATCATTCGAATTGTATGGAAATTTCTTAGAATATTGAATAGGGTCTCTTCTTTTAAGTGCCAAAGATGTTAGTAATCTCATTCAACAAATGAGTACGGAAGTGAGTAAATGTACATACAGTGTTTCCGGTGTAGGCGCCGTGGGTTGAAGAGTCCACCCTGTATGGAAACAAATACGTAATTTTGATTATGAGATTAGTTGCAATTGTAATAATTTAACAACAAAGAAGTGCCATTTGAAACATTTTGGATCGACGTCCACACGTATTTGTCACCTGTTCAAATTTACAAAGTTGTATAATTGTGAGATCGACATGATTCGTAGATTCTCTAACTAATAGTATCTTTTAAGAAAACTAAAGCAGCTCGTCGTCTCTTTAGATTCGTAATATATTCTTCTAAAAATTCTTATTAAAGGAGCTACTGAGATTAGCGTATAAAACATTTTCTGAACTCCAATAGATCATGGAAAACAACACAAAAAAATAAACTTGGAAAAACCGCAAAATTTATACATGTGAATGGTCCCTATTACTCGTAGGAGTTTGAGGCAATCAAAATACGTTTCACGCATTCACAATTTCTTCACCTTTATCATTCGTTTTCAGGTTGTGATAGAGACTGATAATGCGCGTGTCCCAAAGCAAAACGCACCGTTCCCAGCCAGCGTAGAGAGTACATCTTTCCATCAATAACACACGAGTATCGCGTTGGAGTACCTTATAAATCACCTACAATTAACCGCGAATCAACCAAGCATGCACAAACGGGAATTTATGCAGCATTTTCCTAAACAAATCTTACGTGAATACAATAAATAACTTCGCTTTCTAGGACGAACGTTGACACCGGAAAAATGCAATAGATTGACGCACTGCACTTGACTGAAATGTTCACAGAGAGATTAGGGATAATTAAGATTATAGTGAACCGTGTCTCAAACAACATTTTTTCAATTTTATATTTTATAAAGTTCTATAGGGGTAGAAAAATGACTATTCGATATGATGCAGTTGTGTTTTTAAAGCAGGTACTCACCCAGTCGAGTTCTGTAGTTACAAGGTTCTGGTTACCATCCCACTTCTGACACTAATATCGCATACTTCAGAATAATTTCTGAGGTAAATTCATATTGAGGTATTTATCTATGTTATACAATATTTCATAATTCCTTTCTTTTGCAGGTGCACGTGTGACGAAGGCTATACAGGACAAAACTGTGAGACTGAATACATACCCTGTGATCCTAGTCCATGTTTGAATGGTGGCCAATGTAGACAAATCGACAAACATAGTTACACTTGCGAATGCCCTAGCGGTAAGTACAAATTCATGTATGTGTAATCGCAAATATGTAGGCATATTGACGCATAAGGTTTCAGCAAGTAAGAACCTCTACAGGTTCTATGATTGTTAGGAATACTTCTTTGATATTGTCGAATAGTCTCAGTTTCATTATCTGATCTTTAGTAAATAGCAATGTCCTAATGTGTTTACGCTCAAACAAATGCAGACTTTCCTGGTCGTCTAACAGCAATCGCAAGTTTCGTCCACTAAACCAAATAGATATAAATCTGTTTGAGCTAAATATTTTCCTACGTTATCTCTTCGGAGAATACTGTAGGTTGGTCACTGTTAACGGAAATCACCGGAACAGTTCATAAGCCTAATGGTTTACCTTTTGCGGTATCTAAATGTTCATTGTGGTTTGTTATAATGAAGAAAGACGAATAAACAAAGCGAGAAGTTAAAATTATTCAACATTCGCACGCATCTTACGCATCGGTGCGTCCGTAAAATGTGGAATCTTTTCCCGAAATCTGAGCTTACCTTTTGTATAAACTTCATCCTTTATGTTTACGCATGAACGAGAATGCTCGAACTGAAAGTCAAGTCCGCTGTGTAACAAATGAATATCGATAGTAGATTGTCCAGATAGCGTTTGTGATTTGTTGTCACTGGTGTTTATTCAAATTCGGTGAATTGTGGCCACGTTTTTTATCTGCATTGAGTGTTGAAATTGGTATTTGATGCTTGTTTGATATGAAAAGAAAATAAAATTGGTTATTATTTGGTTTTCAAGATTTCACTTGTATTCATATGATTAACAATGAAACTCAACGATTGGTTCAAGAAAATTCTTTCAATATATCTCTTAGTAATTTTTTCATTAAAATATTTGTTTGTGTTTTTTGTAAAAAACTCGTTATGAACAATTTCGAAGTTGTAGATGCTGTAGAGCTTGGCAACCAACAGAGCTTTTTCAAAAAATGAAAAACTGTCCTACAGGTAGTTACTGTCCATCTGGCAACGTTGTCCCTTACCATGTCTGTGCGGCAGCGCCCACCTAAGCACCGCTGCAGCGAGTTATCGTTACTTCCGTGTATGTTTTATGCGCTGCAGTGCGGATAGATTAGTAAGTTGGACCGGTGCGCCGGGCGGTGAGCTTATATGGCAGGAGTACACGGATCGATAACGTTTCTATATCATTCTGAGTTTTAAAGGCAAATTTATATACAACCCTCCCCAATCCCCGAATTTTAACAACTACATTTTTTCTGAAAATGATCAGGAGCCTCTGAAACGTCATGTTTTTGCTCCTAGCTGGACCAATATTCAAAAACTATAAAGCTTTTTCGTCCTTGGCATAGTAGTGACTTTGTCTGGAAATGTCATCCACAACCCAGTGGTACTTCCCAAGTTTAAGGAAAAGCGAACAGATAGACAGACTAACGGAAATGAGTATCATGTTTTTTCGCGATGTAGATATCACATAACATCCAAAAACTATATTTCATTGACTTAGGAAGTAAAAGGAGCTTTAAGATTATGATAATATCGTAATTTTGTGATCTTAATTTGTATGTTCTAATATGAAATTGAGGTTATTCCATGCAATAATTATTATTCGGATGTGAAATAAATGGCATTGGTGTGCAGCAATAGCGAATGCAAGATTAATGACCACGACATTGCCGTTTTGCAAACTCGATACTAAATAAATGATTCCGTTTGCAGAACTAATCATAACGAAAAACGTTAGATCGATAAATCTCAGCGAAAATGGCAGAGGCGAGCACGGAGATTGCATGACGGAGCGTCCGCCTTATCGGCCGGATCTAACGCCGCTTGGCTATTTTTTCGCAACGCAGTCTGCAGCTACTGGGAGATTACTACGTGGAAATAATTTACTATCTTGCAAAGCGAACGGTCAGCTATACGCGCATTAGATAAAGTGATTAGTTATCTCGATTTCTGTTTGAAATGAGGAAACGTGTATTAACATTGACACTGTTGCAGATACCTGACCTTTCAGATTCAGAACGATAAGTAATGAAGCTGATGGATGGTGCTTCCTAGTCCGATACCGTTTTAGTCTAGTTAGTCACTATCTTTGTTAGCCCTTTGTGTTTGTAATGGCAATCTTGATTACTGTCATGGATTGAAATGCAGATATGCAATCTTTCTAAAGCCATTGTAGCAAGCTGGACCACTGGCCTACACTAAACCAGTATCTTGCAAGCAACCCAAGCTATACCACAAAACTAAATACATGACAGTGATAATGTAATTTCTTACAGAATGGTTTCCTAAAATCAATTTGTAATTTTGCCGAAGAAAGTTGGATAAGCGATAACTATTATACAGGGTGGCGCATCGAAAACGAAACAGACACCTTTACTGGCAGATCAGTTTTTTTTTGAAAAACGCTCAGACCCGTCGATTTTGTTTTCGATGGGGACACAAGCTTGGCGAAAAATCACGTTAGCACGTGCAGCCCTCTAAGCGGGGGTGACACCACCCCCAAAATCTTAAATGGAAAGACAGGTCGAGTGATACCTTATTTTAAAGGTCTTTCAATTCCCTTTATAATGATATAAAATTAATGTACTTCAGTTCAGTAGTTGAAGATTTATTGATTTAAAGCTTAAATAAAACTAATACATCATCATTAGTGGAGATCAATACATTTAGCTACAAAGTAATTTAAAAATGAAGAATGAACTGATCCGTTAGGCAAGTAAATGTTGAAAATGGCCAACCATGACTCTCCATGCAATAATAAAGATTTTGGTCAAAACGTTGCCGCACATTTTGCAATATTTGAGGAGTAATTTTAAGGCACTCATTCACAATTCTTTGTCGCAGGTCTTCTAATGATGTTGGCTGAGTAGCATAGATTTTGCTTTTTAAATGACCCCACATAAATAAATCTAAAGGTGATAAATCTGGCGATCTTGGGGGCCATTCAATGGCACCTCTTCTACCAATCCATCGATCTGGAAACGTCTGATCTAAATATTGTCGAACACGTAATGCGTAATGTGGTGGGGCACCATCCTGTTGGAACATCAACCCATTCTGATTTTCAATTATGGCTGTTAATGCAGGATCTATGGCGTCTTCCAGTAATTCCAAATACATTTCACCGGTCAAATTTCCAGGTAAGGAAAAAGGACCAACTAAATGATCGCCAAAAATACGAGCCTAAATATTATATTTTTTGTGGCTGCTGTGTATGAACCTCATGATAAATTCTAGGCCATTTAAGAAAAAGGAACATTAGTCGGAAAAGCAAGTGTTGAATGGAAAATGTTCATCGTTTATAATTCGTTCACTCATATATCACGATTTGACTTGATCCCCTCCCCCAACACCTTATATCACGATTTTTTAAAATTTTTAATTCCAGTGTAAATCTGTTGAATCCATTCAGACAATGCAATGTGCATCATTTTCATTTAAGACTGGTTTTTAAGATTGTTTAGATCGTAGTCCAAGATGACAACTAAAATTAATAAAATATATCTATGTATTCTGATTCAGTCCATGGAGACTCATGCACTTACATATGTTTTACTTTGATTTCTTGCCATTTCACACTGTTGTTTGCGGGGGAAGATTATGTGATATTTTTCGAAACCTCTTCCCTGTGTGACATTCTCAACCCCTCCCCACCCCTGAACACCCCCAGTAATTAATCGACGCCCTCCTATCATATGATACTGCAATGCATACAAGATTTTGCGATAATTTGACGGTTGCCGAAATTGCAAATTTTAGTGTTGTCAGTCGTGTCTCAGTGAATTACTTCCAAAAATATCCTTGAATGCAATTTAATGCACAAATCTATAATTTCTATTTCCATCTAACCTTATCAGTTCGCATCACGTTATAGAACAGTTCTGCGTGCGATGGGAGTGTTTGTGTATATTGCGCGATTAAAGGTGAATACGGAATGAAAAAAATGCAGGCTCATTCGCTATCAACATTGAGTCACGATCATAATCGGATATCTTCATATACGAACGACTTCCATGTCATACGTGCATATATCGATGATATTCCGCTTTCAGGGAGCGCCTGGTTTCTTGTAGAGCGCTTGTTTCGCGGATAGGAAGGCCTGGCGAACAGCTCGACGGTCTATTGCAAACTTATAACGCAGTCAAAATAGACTGTATTTTTTTCGACAATGCCATATAAGATTCGTTGCCATGTACTTGCGTATAGCGCTTGTGTCTTTCGCTGTGTTATTTAACTTCGCAATAAATCTTAATTGGTAGTTTGAGAAAGGCCATCGGGATGGCCGTAACGTCAGTAAACAGTCAATTGTGTGCATGCAGGTTCATTTATGCAAACTTCCATCCTATTGCCTTCCCGAGAAGCTTTGCAGATGGGTGACTGACTTCCTCTCTGGCCGCAAGATACCCGTCGGCATTGACGGGTTCTCCTGTTGATCTCACAGTGTCAACGCGGGTGTTCCTCAGAGATCGATCTTGGCTCCGGCATCGTTTTATGTCCGATCAATCTGATCTACAGATTTGCTGATGACAGCACTCTACATACAGGCATTGAGTGACAAGCCGATATTTGCTGGTGTACAATGCTCCTGACTAACAAGAATGATCTTGGTGCTCATCCGATTTCGATGCATGACTGGGTTCTAGCGTTGATTTTGCGCAGACTTGATCTTACACGAACACAGCTCGTCAATAACGGCAGCTGCTGGGAAAAATCTAAGCCATTTATTTAGAGCTAAGAAGTAATCAGATAAAATTGCTGGATTTAACAACAATTGTCCCTCCTCTATTTGACATAGCTCAGCAGTCTATGGGAAGAAGTTTTTGATTGTCATTTTAATTATACATATTTGTTGATCAAGAAGACTATGATGCGATTTTTGGTAAACATTTTTTATTCCCGCTGAATATTTGCAACGAAGCAGTTGTTCAAAAATTATCACAGGGTCATGTAATTTGAGCGTTAGGATTACGGGTTCGACTATGAATTACATATATCTGCCACGACTCTGGGAGAT